TGACTACACCGTCTCTGTTTTCTCCTCTGCACTTCACAGTGGTAGTCATGCATTCCCTCTGTACACTAGTGAAGAACCTATTTCTCAGCTGATACTTCTTCTGGGATGACTTGAGGCGCCGCATTGTTGATGATAATCAGCAAATTTGATTCGGGTATTCGATTGGCTTATTGTTGACCATATCGTCTTACGTAGTAAAGAAATGGGTACTGATGAAACTGAACTAGGTGCAATGTAGAGTTATCCTTCAATTATTTACTCTTCTTACCTTTGCATACTGTCATGAAGACAATTCTGCTACATGGAATGCACTTGCTGTCGTGCATTGTTAAATCTTTAGCAGCATATCTATAGTAACCACGTAGTTGTTACAATTGATCTCTCAGAAGGCAAAGTTTCCAATAATCCTAACTTAATCTTTAGAATGTCCTGTCACCCACAAGTGCAAAATCCATCCTGTCACTTTTTTTAATGAGTCAGTTGAGGACTATATGCAGGCAAATTAATCGTGGCCGAAGTAGAAGAATAACGGAAGGTAGCATCGAAGAAACCACTCAAAAAGAGACTGGGTAAAAGAGGGGTAGTTTTTAATTTTCATGGTCATCCACATGGACACTACCATTTTCAAGGGGTCCGCCTTCATCTTGTCATCACGGAAAGGCATCACTCCTTATTGTCCTTCAATCAGCGTATGCTCCATTAGAATGTGATCCCTCACAGATGAATACGAATTACCAATAACTTTGATAAATTGCAGAATCTTTACTGTGTATCATCTAAGTGCACGAAATTAGTTCGAAAGTTAACTTTAATGTTTCAGATGCTGGTCAACTGCGGTTTAAAAGACTATGCATTGTTGAAGGAATAGTTAAACGTTGTTTACCTATCTAATTAGAGAGTGCGTAAGCCTTAAAAACTATGAACAAGCATAACTTTTACACGAATTGTTGTTGTATGTAAGCATAATAGGGTACAATTTGGAGAGGGGATGAAAAAATCCCTATAAAACCAGCGACATGCCTGACGCCGCTGTAGCAGTTAATGGCTCTGACGCCGATTTGAGCGCATTTATTTGCTGTGATAGAGCATGACACCATACACACGCACCCACATACGAAAATACCTCCCATTCCACTCCTTTACTGCCAGGTGTGCGAGCAAGTTGCAGGTGTTACTTCAGTCGATGTGAAGTTTTGAGCGAGCTAATTTGCTATTGTCTGATACTTTGCAGCAGTAACTTCCTAGTAGTAAAATGTTTCCTCCATTTGGGAACATTTCTTCAGCTGGGAGAATTAATGTATTGTTTCCTGCACAAAGTGCTTTATCTTAGGGTCTGGCAATAGCTTATAAAAGTCTTTATGATTTGGTGCTAATAGATCAGACTTGTAATTTTATCATTAAATTGGTGATATTTATCTAGTAAAGTTAACCATTGTGTTAGAAATTTCGAAAGTGCAAAAAAACTTTTTTTGTGTCTTCCAGTTTTGAACATTCCTATTAGTTCGTGTTTTAAGGCCTATGCTTTGTTCCCTAAAATCGTTCGTTACAAGGGTCGAGTACGTGGCCGCCCGATTTTCCCATTGTATTCCAGCCTTACAAACATGTAACATATCTAACCCTACCACTTTCAGATAAATAATCCATATGATTCCAAAGTATTCCTTATGTGCAACTGAGCCCACTTCTTTATACATCAAGAAGTAAATAAATTGGGTAACATGAGAAGTGCCTCACATCTGGTATGCATCGGTCCACTTTCCTCTCATAATATGGCAACAAGGAATTTTTCCCTATCACTCTTCTGCAACGATGGGTCGTTCGAAAACAATAAAAAGTATTTTCTTTTTAAGCAGCAAATGCAGTGCAACTCAGATGAGTGCGGATCAAGGCATTCCCACCTGTAATTTTCCATATTCTGTTGCAAATTGTTGTACAAACAGTTCGCAATACCGCTTTAATAACCTCACAATCAAGGTGACTGAGTCTTGAATTCGTCTAAAAAATTTGTACAAATACTGCAAACAAGAAACTGCTTAAATATTTTTGGGTTGACTCAGCATCAACAAGTAGGCGCAAACGGGCGAAACAGATCAAGAACTTCACTATCAGCTTTCGTGACATGGTAATGAGGAACCCAGTTCCTCAAATGGAAAGCATTGGGCTATGACAGGACAAACAGTGAAGTCCCTTGTAAGAGTTGAAGTAGTTGAAGTCAAGTTGAACACACCTTCAAATAGGCATGTAGTTTCGGTTTGTGTTATGTTGATCAGGTATAAAGAAAGGCGACCCACCAAATGCAGTTTGGCAAATGGAGTGTTCAATATGGGAACGATGTCCTCCCATTGAAACAAGAAATTCTTTTACCTGGTAAAGCCAGCATAATTATTCCAGTATATCACTAGAATTTCCTTCTGCACTCGAGTTGGGAGCAGCAAGTTTATTTTTGTTCTGCAGTCAGCCGAAGCTTATAATCTTCCACTCACTTAACTGATGCCTCCGTGTCGGAGGTTGACGGCTGCCAGCGTGGAGATTAATGACTGACCAATGTCGTATTCTCAATCTTATACCGCAAAATTTCACCCCAAAATTCTTTTCATTTGCCGGAAGAAAATATGTACAAGCTCTAAACTTTCGTAAAAATTGGGGAAAGAGCCAGGCATTTC